TGTAGTGCGTGTGTGGTGTTTGTGTGGTGTGGAGTGTGGGATGCGTGGTGTGTGTGGTGGGTAGTATGTGGTGTGTGTAGTCTGTGTGTGATGTGGAGTGTGTGGTTGTATGTATGTAGTTGTGTGGTGTGCAGTGTGTGGGGTTTGTGTGATGTGTAGTATGTGTATGGTATGTGGTATGTGTGGAGTGTGTATGTGGTGTGTGTGCTGTATGGTTTATGTGGTGTGTATGTGTGTGTGGTGTGGAGTGTGTTGGACATGTGTGTGGTGTGTTTGGGGGTGTGTGTGGTGTGTGTGTGTGCTGGGTGTTTAGTGTGGTGTGTGGTGTGTGTGTATGTGTGATGTATGTGTGTGGTGTGAAATAGGGGTGTGTGTGGTGTGGTGTGTGGGGTGTGTGGGGCATGTGTGGTGTGTTGTGTGTGGTATGGGGTATGTATGGGTGTGTGTGGTGTGTATGTGTGATGTATGTGTGTGGTGTGTGTGGGGGTATGCTCTGTGTGGAGTGTGGTATGTGTAGTGTGTTTGTGGTGTGTGTGGTATGTGTATGGGTGTGTGTGGGGTGTGTAGGGTTGTGTGTATGTGTGTGGTATGGTTGTGGTGTGTGTGGTGTGGTATGTGTGTGGTGTGTGTGGTGTGGTGTGTGGTTTGGTGTGTGTAGTGTGGTGTGCATGGTGTGGTGTGTGTGGTGTGTATGGTGTGTGCGTGGTGGGGTGTGTGTGGTGTGCCTGATGGTGTGGTGTGCGTGTGGTGTGGTGTGTGTCGTGTGCATGTGTTGTGTGGTGTGTTGTGTGGTGTGTGTGGGGTGTGTGTGGTGTATGTGGTGTGGTGTGTGTAGTGTGGTTCATAACGTGTGTGGTGTGTGGTATGTGTGGTGTGTGGGGGTGTATGTGGTGTGTGTGTGGTGTGGTGTGTGTAGTGTGGTGTGCATGGGTTTGTGTGTGGTGTGTTTGTGTGTGGTGTGTGCTGTGAGTTTGTGGTGTGCGTGGGGGTGTGTGTGGGGGTGTGTGTGGTGTGATGTGGTGTGTGTGAGGTGTGCATGGGTGTGTGTGTGGTGTATGCTGAGTTTGTGGTGTGTGCTGTGAGTTTGTGTGCAGTGTGCGTGGGGGTGTGTATGGTGTGTGGTGTGTGTGGGGTGTGTGTGGTGTGATGTGGTGTGTGTGAGGTGTGCATGGGGGTGTTTGTGGTGTGTGCTCTGAGTTTGTGTGTGGTGTGCGTGGGGGTGTGTGTGGTGTGTGGGTGTGTGATATATGTGTGGGGTGTGTGTGCTGTGTGTGGTGTGATGTGGTATGTGAGGTGTGCATGGGCGTGTGTGTGGTGTGTGAGAGAGAGAGTTGAAACCCAGTGACCAGGGAAACCCGGGCAGGGAAGGGCAGTGAAGACCTCGGCGGCCAGTCACCAGCGCAGCAATGACCAAGGAAGGGCCTGTGGGGGTGCAGGGACAGCGCGAGCCAGTGGCCGGTGGCAGAAGGTGGTCGGGCTGGGAGCCATGAGCACAGGGAGTGGGAGAGGGAAGCTCAGATCAGGTAGGGCCCTGTGGGCCACAGGAGGGGCCTTGTTCAGCCTGCGAGGCAGGAGCTCCTGGGGGTAGGGAAGACGTGATCTGACCAATTTTATTTTATTTCATTTTATTTTGTTATTTAGAGACAGAAACACTCTATCACCCAGGCTAGAGTGCAGTGATGCGATCTCAGCTCACTGCAACCTCCACCTCCTGGGTTCAAGTGATTCTCCTGCCTCAGCCTCCCAAGTAGCTGGGACTACAGGTGCCTGCCACCACCCCAGCTAATTTTTTGTATTTTTAGCAGAGAAGGGGTTTCACCATGTTGGCTAGGCTGGTCCTGCCTTCAAATGATCTGCCCACCTCTGCTTCACAAACTGCTGGGATTACAGGTATGAGCCACCACTCCTGGCCCTTTCCTTTTTTTGAGACAGGGTCTTGTTCTGTCACCTGGGCTGGAATGAAGAGGCAAGATCATAGCTCACTGCAGCCTCTACTTCCCAGGCTCAAGCAATCCTCCCGCCACAGGTGGCCAAGTAGCTGGGATTACAAGTTCGTCACCACGCCTGGCTAATTTTTAAATTTTTCGTAGAGACAGGGCCCACTTGTCGCCCAGGCTGTTCTTAAAACTCCTGGGCTCCAGCGATCCTCCTGCCTAGGCCTCCCGAAGTGCTGGGATTACAAATGTGAGCCACCACGCCCAGCCAATTGGATCTATTTTAACTGGAGCCCTCTGGCTGCTTAGCAAGCTCACCTACAGCAAGTGCTCGAGGACAGATGCAGGGAGCCTCCATTGGAAACTACTGGGAGTCAGGTGAGAGAAACTGGTTTTGAACCAGACGTTGGTAGCGGAGTGTGGGAAGTAGGAAAGCTCCTTTTTCAAGTTTCCTTTCTCGTTAACTTTGTTAAGCCCTAACCTGTGTAGCTGTTAGAGACGCCATGCTTACAGGCACGTAGTACACTGTGTGCCCTTGTACTTTAACCAAGATAATCTGAGCTGGACGTGCTCACAGGTATGTCCCAGCTCTCCATTGCTTTTACCTGTTTAGAACAGTTTTAAGTTGTCAGCCAATTGGGTTTTAGTTTAGATGGTGAGGTCTGGCTCCCGCCAATGGAGATCAGACAGAGCAGTAAGGACGACCCCAAATGCATAAGGAATACATTTGTGGGTGTTCCTTTGTTCATTGTATTCTCGTGGCACGATGGCTAGCAAGGATACCCTTCCTGCAGTCCAGGAAGTAAAAATTGCGTTGCTGAAAGATCTTTTGTCTCAGTGCTGATTTTTCTTTGCAGCACAAAGCATCTATTTCCAACATGGCGTTATCACATGTCGCAGTGGAGGGAACACACTTGCTGATGAATCCAGTGTGGGTGTGAGAGGAGGACAGGGGCTCCTGCTGAGCCCAGGTGCACTGGCTGAGCACAATAAGGGTATCAAGATCAGGCGAGAGTTGCACGTGCTCAGGGCTGCAAAAGGGCAGTGAGGGCATCTCTCACATCTGGTGACCCTGGCCCCAGTCCCCATTCTGCAGCTCAATTCAGCAGTAGCACCTCCAGCTTCTGCAAAGGAGACCACAGCGAGGGCAGCGACTACCGGAGGGCAGAGCCTACCGAATGCAGGGCGTCTCTTTTTTAGGTTGTGCGGCTGAGGCTTCTTTACCCCGAGTTCCTGGACGTTCCTTCAACGGAACCTGCCAGAAATCTGCCCTTAGGATACCAGGGGAAAAGCTGTTGTTGGGGAAAGGCTCGCCAGAGACCTCCGCTATAAAACCACGGAGGAGGCTGGGCGCGGTGGCCCACGCTTGTCTTCCCAGCTCTTAGGGAGGCCGAGAGGTGGATCACGAGGTCAAGAGTTCAAGACCAGCCTGGCCAACATAGTGAAACCCTGTCTCTACTAAAAATACAAAAATTTGCTGCCTGTAATCCCAGCCACTGGGGAGGCTGAGGCAGGAGAATCTTGAACCTGGGAGATGAAGGTTGTAGTGAGCCGAGATCGCACCACTGCACTCCAGCCTGGGAGACAGAGGAGGGATCTCAAAATAAATAAAAACAAAAAAACTCGATGAGGAGGGTGCTGCTGACCAGGGCAGGAGACTGACATAGGGGAACCCCCGGGGCCCGCCAGCCGCAACGGGTTGAAACGTCTCTCTGGCGCCCTCTACCGATTAAGCCTAACAGCGCCAGCTGGCAATGGAGAAATACTGAACGTATATATATATTTTTTTATTTTGAGACGGAGTTTCGATTGTTACCCAGGCTGGAGTGCAATGGCGCGATCTCGGCCCACCGCAACCTCCGCCTCCTGGGTTCAGGCAATTCTCCTGCCTCAGCCTCCCGAGTAGCTGGGATTACAGGCATGCGCCACCATGCCCAGCTAATTTTTTTTTTTTGTATTTTTAGTAGACACGGGGGGTTTCACCATGTTGACCACGATGGTCTCGATCTTTTGACCTCGTGATCCACCCGCCTCGGCCTCCCAAAGTGCTGGGATTACAGGCGTGAGCCACCGCGCGCTACCCGAAATACTGAATACTGAATATTTATTTGAGCGGCCCAGATCCGCTTTCGCAGAGAGCATCGGTGAATGTGGAGCTGAGAGAATGTATTCACTGACAAAAGGAAAAAAGGTTTAGAAATCTCTTAAGTGTCCTATGTTTGCCAACATTTACCGACGGCTCGCTCTGACATCTGAAACAATAGTGATCATTCTAGAGATTAGTTAGATGGAATTAAACAATTCCGGCTCTTGTTAAATAGGCATATACTTAATTTGCAAAATGCCGTGCAAGAACCCGTGGGGCACCTGGAGAAAACAGTGTCTCGAGACGGCTCAGGTGCTCCGGGTCCACGCAGGACGCGGGACGGGGAGGGGCCTGGCCTGGCCTGGCCTCCGGGGCTGAGCCCGCTCCTGCTGCTGCGGGTGGGGGGTGTTCACGCCCCTTGGCCTCTGGGAGGGGCCTGAGGCAGGACATTAGGGCCAGCGGAGCAGGCCCTTCCCCGAGCCACGGGGGAAACCCCTGCCCCAGGTGTCTGACTTTCAAACTGCATCAGGCCACTGGAGGATTGTTTCGTGGCTATGAGAAAATTAATTATGCAGGCCGGGCGTGGTGGCTCACGCCTGTAATCCAAGTACTTTGGAGGCCAAGGAGGGCGGATTACCTGAGGTCGGGAGTTTAAGACCAGCCGGACCAACATGGTGAAACCCCCGTCTTTTAAAAAAAAAAAAAAAAAGAAAGAAAATTAATTATGCTTGCACAAAACTTTAGCCAATACCTCAGAGGGAAACGTAAAAGGGGAAAGCCGCACCCTTACTCCACCCACTCCAAGGCGGCAGACACCCCTCCGTGGCCGGGACTCAGCACGATCAAGTCCTCGTTCTCCTACGCCGGCGGGACCCAGCGCCCCGCTCCAGGGGGCGGGGAGAGCTGGGTCACGTCCCGGCCCCGCCCACCCGCGCGGCCCCGCCCCCGAGCGTGCGCGCCCCACGCGGAGACCCCGCCCCCGAGCGCGCGCTCGTGCGCCGCTGCCGCCATTTTGGAGCGATCCGAGTGCCGCCCGCGGCCCCGAGTCGGTCTCGAGCCGCCGGCCGGCCGCGCCGGTGTCCGTAGGCGCTGCGCCCCGGGCCGGGCCCATGTGTGTGCGGCCCGCCCGAGGCCGCCTGGGCTTTGCCTCCACCAGCGCCCTGGCCTCCGTTCGGGCCTCCACACGGGCCTCCGAGGAGCTGCCGCGACGCCCGGCCCGCAGGGCAGGTGAGTGCGGCCGCACGCCGCTCGGACCCGGTTCCGGGTCAGCCGGTGCCCCCCAAGTCACTTCCCCCGAGTCAGTCAGTGCCCCTCCAGATAGTTATCTACCAGTCAGTCAATGCCCCCTCAGTCAGTCACTGCTCCCCAAGTCAGTTCCCCAGTCAAGTTTCCCCCAGTCAGTGCACCCCAGTCAGTGCCCCCCAAGTCAGTTCCCACCTAGTCAGTTCCCCCCAAGTCAGTGCCCCCCAGTCAGTGCCCCCCAAGTCAGTTCCCCCCAAGTCAGTTCCCACCTAGTCAGTGCCCCCCAAGTCAGTTCCCACCTAGTCAGTTCCCCCCAAGTCAGTTCCCACCTAGTCAGTTCCCACCTAGTCAGTGCCCCCCAAGTCAGTTCCCACCTAGTCAGTTCCCCCCAAGTCAGTTCCCCCCAAGTCAGTTCCCACCTAGTCAGTTCCCACCTAGTCAGTTCCCCCCAAGTCAGTTCCCACCTAGTCAGTTCCCACCTAGTCAGTTCCCACCTAGTCAGTTCCCCCTAAGTCAGTTCCCACCTAGTCAGTTCCCACCTAGTCAGTGCCCCCCAAGTCAGTTCCCACCTAGTCAGTTCCCACCTAGTCAGTGCCCCCCAAGTCAGTTCCCACCTAGACAGTTCCCACCTAGTCAGTTCCCACCTAGTCAGTTCCCACCTAGTCAGTTCCCACCTAGTCAGTTCCCCCTAAGTCAGTTCCCCCCAAGTCAGTTCCCACCTAGTCAGTTCCCACCTAGTCAGTTCTCCCAGTCAGTGCCCCCCAAGTCAGTTCCCACCTAGTCAGTGCCCCCCCAAGTCAGTTCCCACCTAGTCAGTTCCCCCCAAGTCAGTTCCCACCTAGTCAGTTCCCACCTAGTATAGTTCCCACCTAGTCAGTTCCCCCTAAGTCAGTTCCCCCCAAGTCAGTTCCCACCTAGTCAGTTCTCCCAGTCAGTGTCCCCCAAGTCAGTGCCCCCCAAGTCAGTGCCCCCCCTAGTCAGTGCACCCCCAGTCAGTTCCCACCTAGTCAGTTCCCACCTAGTCAGTGCCCCCCTAATCAGTTCTCCCAGTCAGTGCCCCCCAAGTCAGTGCCCCTCTAGTCAGTGCCCCCCTAGTCAGTGCACCCCTAGTCAGTTCTCCCAGTCAGTGCACCCCTAGTCAGTGCCCCCAAGTCAGTGCCCCCCTAGTCAGTTCTCCCAGTCAGTGCACCCCCAGTCAGTGCCCCCCAAGTCAGTTCCCACCTAGTCAGTGCCCCCCTAGTCAGTGCCCCCCTAGTCAGTTCTCCCAGTCAGTGCCCCCCAAGTCAGTTCCCACCTAGTCAGTTCCCACCTAGTCAGTGCCCCCCAAGTCAGTGCCCCCCAAGTCAGTTTCAGTTCCCACCTAGTCAGTGCCCCCCAAGTCAGTGCCCCCCGTCAGTTCCCACCTAGTCAGTGCCCCCCAAGTCAGTTCCCACCTAGTCAGTTCCCACCTAGTCAGTTCTCCCAGTCAGTGCCCCCCAATCAGTTCCCACCTAGTCAGTGCCCCCCAAGTCAGTACCCCCCTAGTCAGTTCCCCCCAAGTCAGTTCCCACCTAGTCAGTGCCCCCCTAGTCAGTGCCCCCCTAGTCAGTTCCCCCCAAGTCAGTTCCTACCTAGTCAGTGCCCCCCTAGTCAGTGCCCCCCTAGTCAGTGCCCCCCTAGTCAGTGCACCCCCAGTCAGTTCCCAGCTAGTCAGTGTCCCTCTAGTCAGTGCCCCCCTAGTCAGTTCTCCCAGTCAGTGCCCCCCTAGTCAGTGCCCCCCAGTCAGTGTCCCCTCCAGTCAGCTCCCCCAGTCATTGCCCCCCCAAGTCAGTTCCCACCTAGTCAGTTCCCACCTAGTCAGTGCCCCCCAAGTCAGTGCCCCCCTAGTCAGTGCCCCCAAGTCAGTGCCCCCCTAGTCAGTTCTCCCAGTCAGTGCACCCCCAGTCAGTGCCCCCCAAGTCAGTTCCCACCTAGTCAGTGCCCCCCTAGTCAGTGCCCCCCCTAGTCAGTTCTCCCAGTCAGTGCCCCCCAAGTCAGTTCCCACCTAGTCAGTTCCCACCTAGTCAGTGCCCCCCAAGTCAGTGCCCCCCAAGTCAGTTCCCACCTAGTCAGTGCCCCCCAAGTCAGTGCCCCCCAAGTCAGTTCCCACCTAGTCAGTTCCCACCTAGTCAGTGCCCCCCAAGTCAGTGCCCCCCGTCAGTTCCCACCTAGTCAGTGCCCCCCAAGTCAGTGCCCCCCAAGTCAGTTCCCACCTAGTCAGTTCCCACCTAGTCAGTTCTCCCAGTCAGTGCCCCCCAATCAGTTCCCACCTAGTCAGTGCCCCCCAAGTCAGTACCCCCCTAGTCAGTTCCCCCCAAGTCAGTTCCCACCTAGTCAGTGCCCCCCTAGTCAGTGCCCCCCTAGTCAGTTCCCCCCAAGTCAGTTCCTACCTAGTCAGTGCCCCCCAAGTCAGTGCCCCCCTAGTCAGTGCACCCCCAGTCAGTTCCCACCTAGTCAGTGTCCCTCTAGTCAGTGCCCCCCTAGTCAGTTCTCCCAGTCAGTGCCCCCCTAGTCAGTGCCCCCCAGTCAGTGTCCCCTCCAGTCAGCTCCCCCAGTCATTGCCCCCCCAAGTCAGTTCCCCCTCCAGTCACTTCCCCCCAAGTCACTTCCCACCTAGTCAGTGTCCTTCCAGTTTCCCCCCAGTCAGTGTCCCCTCCGGTCAGCTCCCCCCAGTCATTGGCCCCCCAAGTCAGTTCCCCCTCCAGTCAGTTCCCCCCAAGTCACTTCCCACCTAGTCAGTATCCCCCTAGTCAGTACACCCCTAGTCAGTGTCCCCCAGTCAGGGCCCCCCAAGTCACTTCCCACCTAGTCAGCGCCCCTTCAGTCAGCTCCCCCCAGTCATTGCCCCCCCAAGTCAGTTCCCCCTCCAGTCAGTTCCCCCCCAAGTCAGTTCGCACTCCAGTCAGTTCCCCTGGTCAGTGCCCCCCAAGTCAGTTCCCCTCTAGTTAGTTTCCCCCAGTCATTGCCCCCCCAAGTCAGTTCCCCCCAAGTCGTCAGTTCTCACCAGTCAGTACCCCCTGTCAGTGCCTCCTCCAGTTTTCCCCCCAGTCAGTTCCCCCCTAGTTAGTGCCCTCCCAAGTCAGTGCCCACTCCAGTCAGTGCCTCTCAGTTTCCCTCCAGTCAGTGCCCCCTCAAATCAGCCACTGCCCTCTCCAGTCAGTTACCCCCAGTCAGTGCCCTCATCAGTTCTCCTGCAGTTAGTCCCCCCATCAGTGCCTCCTCTAGTCAGTGTCCCCACAGTCAGTTCCCCCTCCCCTGTCAGTTCCTCCTCCAGTCAGTTCCCCCTCAGTCAGTCAGTTGCACCTCCAGTCAGTGGGGGCCTCCCACCGTCAGTTCCTCCCTCGTCAGTGTCTCCTCCAGTCAGCTCTCCCCAGTCAGTGCCCCCCCATCAGTTCCTACCCATCAGTCAGTGTTCCCTCCACTCAGTTCCCCCCATCAGTCAGTGCCCCCTAGTTAGTGTCCCCACCAGTGTCCCTTCCAGTCAGCTCCCCCCAGTCAGTGCCCCCACGTGTCCCCTCTAATCAGTTCCCCCCAGTCAGCTCCCCCTCCAGTCAGTTCCCCTCCAGTCAGCTCCCCGCAGTCAGTTTTCCCCCAGTCAGCTCCCCCTCTCGTCAGTGCCCCCTCCAGTCAGTTCCCCCTCCAGTCAGTTCCCCCCAGGCAGTTCCCCCAGTCAGTTCCTCCCTCAGTACCCTCTCCAGTCAATGCCTCCCCGTCACTGCCCCCCCAGTCAGTTCTCCCCCGAGTCAGTTCCCCCCTCAGTACCCTCTGTAGTCCCCCCCGCAGCCAGTTCCCCCCCAGTCAGTTCCCCCCCAGCGCCCCCTCCAGTCAGTGACCCCCTAGTCAGTGAGTGCCTCCCCAGTCAGTTCCCTGCTGTCAGTCAGTGCTCCCCCATCAATGCCCTCCACAGTCAGTGCCCTCATTCTGTCCCCCTCCTGTCAGTGCCTCCTGCACCAGTCAGTGTCCCCTCACCCCACCAGTCAGTGCCCCTTGCACGTCATGCTCCTCTCGTCAGTCAGTGCCCCTGAATTGGTCAGTCCCCCCACTGGTCGGTGCCTCTGCTATTGGTCGCTGCTCCCCAACATCGGTCCAGTCTGCCCCTCATCAGTGTCCCCTCCTGGCAATCAGTGTCCCCCATCAGCCAGTGTCCCCTCCAGGCAATTCTTTTCTTTTTGTCATGTCCCCCCTTCCCATCAGTGCCTGCACCCCCACCTGTACCCGTCAGTCACTGACCACATAGTCCCTCCCCTGCCAGTGCCCTTCCTTGTTAGTCCCAGTGCTTCTGTCAGTGATGCCCCCATCTGTCATTGATCTTCTCTGTCAGTTACCCCCTGTCAGTGCCAGTGTCCTCTGTCAGTGAACTCTGCCACCAGTAAGTTTCCCTCAGAAGTGTCTTCCCCCATCCTGCCTGTCGTGTCCTTCCCCTCTTTGCATCAGGACCCCTGTGTTCCTGTCAAGGCCCTCCCCATCAGTTCTCCTCTGATGTCAGTGCCTGTCCCCTCTTTTATGCGACCTTCTTTATCCCTTATGTTAGGGAACAGGGACCCTTCCCATTAGTCCTGCCCTGCTGTTAATGACCCCAGTGCTTCTCTCCTGCCTGTTGGTGGGAGAACTTTCAGTGCCCACTGTCATCACCCCTCTTGTGCCTTCACTGACTCTCCTTTCGGTTATTCCCCCTCTTTCCCTCACCTCTCCTCTTTCCCGTCACACTCCCCATCACTGCTTCAGATATCACCAGTCATCCAACCTCACTTTAACCCACACTGCCCTGTTCCTTCCATCCCTATCATCTCTTCCCTCACACCTGTCACCTTCCCCCCATGCACCTTACCATCCCCCACCTGCCACTCCATGTACTTGCAGCTAACCTACCTGCTTTGTCCACTCTCTTGTTACTGACTTCTCCCAATTTGCTGCTCATTCCTGCCCTGTCAGCACCAGCTCCCCCTGCAGGGACTAGACTACCATCT